AATACTATTTAGGAAATAATACTTCTTGCTGCTTCTGCTCTCAGGTGATTTGTGGAGCTATGATTTCTTCAGTGGTGAATTTGTAGTGTCACCTGAACCAGACACAAGTGTTCACACTCTTGATCCCCAGAAGCACAAGTATATCATCTTGGGGAGTGATGGGCTTTGGAATATGATTCCACCTCAAGATGCCATCTCAATGTGCCAGGACCAAGAGGAGAAAAAATACATGATGGTGAGAAATGACTCAGTAATTTGATATTATTGTGTATACATTATTCTGGTGCTTTTTGTTTACCTTAAATAGATATTTGCATTGGCCTGGCTTAGAAGTAAGCAAAACATAGCTTTTGCAGCTCATTAGTGGGACAAGGCAGGAAATACATAAAACCTAGGTAGCAAAAGACATAACCACTGACTTCATTATGAATAGCCCTCAACATAATGACCTTTGAAACCTCACCAATTCTCTTTTTTTTAAATCGAGATATATTTCACACCCTAACATTTATTTACTGTTTTAAAGCATATAATTTAGTGATTGTTAGTATATTCTCACTTGTGTAACCATCACCACTATTTAATCCCAGAACATTTTCATCAGCGTTTCTCCCTAACAAAACCTCTCCTTCTCCCTTCCTCTCTCTGAAGTCAATTAAAAAATATTTTAAAAATAAGATAAAAAAGGACACAATATTAGGGGGGCTCAGATAATCAGCTGAAACAGTGAGCTGAGGGAATTGGCTTATACAGATTTTTTTTTTTTATGGAGCTTTGCTTGGGAGGGAAATACAGAGGCATATTGAGAAAGTGAAAGGTAAAGGAGTTCTCGGTGAGCTACCGTTTGGACAATGATGAAACATGTACTGGGGAATGTGTTAGATTCATGAATTAGAAATTAATGCTGCCTTTTGTCATTTGTGAGGTGCATGTTTTTTCATATGAGAAATTGAGAAACAAAGGCAGTATTTAAAAAATCATTACAAAATGATACTTATCTGGGGATGCAAGATAATAAGATTTTATTTATTTATTTTTTAAACACAGTTTTATTGATTTCAGAGAGAAAGAGAGAGAGATAGAAACATAAATGATGAGAGAGAATCATGATCAGCTGCCTCCTACATGCATCCTACTGGGGACCAAGCCCGAAACCTGGGCATGTGCCCGACTGGGAATTTAACCGTGACCTCCTGGTTCATAGGTTGATACTCAACCACTGAGCAACACCGGCCAGGCTAATTAAGGTTTTAAACAAAGCAGCTGAGAAGAGTTATTTGCCGTTTGCCATGTGTTGAAATACTGTAACATGCTTAAGATCAGACAACACCAAGTAAAGATGTTTCCCTATTTTTTTTTTCAACCCAGTTATTTATCCAGTTTGAATATATATACTTCATGGATACAGATGACAACCAAATGACTTATAGTATACTAGGGGCCCGGTGCACGAAATTCGTGCCCTGGGTGGTGGTGGTGGGGGGCAGTATCCCTCAGCCCAGCCTGCCCCCTCTCACATACTGGGAGCCCTCAGGCGTTGATCCCCATCGCCCTCCAATCGCAGGATCGGCCCCTTGCCCAGGCCTGACGCCTCTGCCAAAGGTTTCATGCCTGGGCAGGGGACCCTCATTTCCCGCCTTCACTGGTTCTGTCCCCAGCCCAGGCCTGATGCCTCTGGCCCAGGCATCAGGCCTGGGCAGGGGACCCCCAGACCCCTCCGAATGCTGGTTCTGCCCCTTGCCCAGGCCTGATGCCTCGGCCAGAGGCGTCGACCCCCATCACCGTCCGATCGCCTGATCGGCCCCTTGCCCAGGGCTGACACCTCCACCAGAGGTGTCAGGCTTGGACAGGCGACCCCCATCTCCCCTGATCACTGG